TGATGGATCTGTAACTTCTCTGGTTTCTCCCCTACAGAGGTCTTCCCCCTACATGTTAAAGAACAGCATATGAAGCTGAGGTTTGTGAGTATCCAAATTCCATTCCCACACTGGTGCAGAAGCAGAGACCATGTCTGCCAAAGCTGAGGTCAAGCATGTTATTCCACTGAGCTGCTTCAGAGTTAAAGGAAACACTGAACCTTTCTTTGAAAGGCATGTGAACCATATTAGTTCCTAGGGTTTTACTGTTCAGAATCAGACTGAAAGACGCTCCTCTGACCAAGGCTGTCTGAAGAGAGACTGCAATTGGACTTTAATTGAAATTATACAAGAAGGACCATGCTTTCCATTCCAATCTGATTATAAAGACTATAGATAGCTCCTCATGCTACTAAAGTTGCTAGACTTCCTATTATGTCTTTCCCTCCCCTGAGGAATAAAACATAGTAGCTATCATTTAGTTAATAGTAGACATAATTTCAACCTTTGCTATGTACTCACTTCAGATCAGGTCTTTGGAAGTTCAGCCAAAAAAACCTTTTTTTTTTCACTCCTCCAGTCAAAATTCCTGCAGTCCTTTCCCAAAAGGCAATTCCTTCAGTATAAAAGTAAATAAATTTTTTTTTGTCTTTTCATAGGCCATAAAACTTGCATCCTTGGAGTAGGGCTAGACTTGGTCAAGTACCAAGTATTTGATACTTCACCCTTGTTCAGGCTTTATCAGAAAAGCCAGCTTACACTGCATAGCAGACATGTAACACACAGCATCAACACTTGTCATAGCATTGCCCCTTTCTGATAACTGGAGATCAGAGCATCAGAGCCACTCAGAGCCAGCGTCAGCAGCGCCTTCAACCCCTCCCACAGAAAGCACCCTGAAAAATCCTGTTTATAGGACCGCTCTTAGCAGTCACAGGATCTGCTCAGAGCTCCCCAGCTTTGACTAATAAACAGCCTGTAGTCCCAGGGAAGTGAACTTACTTTTTTGTGCAAAACATGTGCAGCCCCTGAAAAGGAGTTGTTCTGCTCAGAGATCTTCAGTGTTTGTTAGTCTTTACCATTTAAGAACAGAGCTCAGACTACATCAGTCTTAGTTTTTCCACAAAAAGACTTCTGGGTTCCTTGTGTTTCTTTTCTTAATAATGTGAGACAGTCATTACAGATCAATGCCCTTCACAAATGTACCTTGGAGGGACAGACAAGGAGGTAGATCACTCATCACAGGACATATGTGAAAGAAAATAGACCAGACAACACGCCTACAATGTTTCTCTGCAGCAGTAAATTCGTGTACCGAGGTTAGCCCAATAAGTTTAATACGTAAGGAAAAACAGAGTGGGTATTTACTCACACACAATTTTATGAGAGGAACAACTGAAATGTCAGCAAGAAAAACACACTTTTTGGACAAATTGATATTACATCACATTAGTGGGCCACAGAACTCTTTAAAAAAATAAATCTTTTTGAGACATGAGAATGAAATCACATTTTAGCATGCTTTAAATAGCTGAACTGCTCCTCAAAGCATACATTTTCAGCTATTGGCAAAGACAATTATTATCTCTTCATCTGGAAATTAAAAAGCATTTAGCAATAAGTTAAAGCTAGCCTACGTGTAAGTGGGCTAAACACTAGTCAGAGATTTTTCCCTTTTCACATTTAAGATGATAGTACAGTTCATCACTTCTGTAGCTTATATGCTGTTGTGCAATGCCCCACTGAAGTTTCACATCTACTCTGCAAAAGAGAACAAGAGTAAACAGCATTTTTTTAGGATAGTCACAAATGGTAAAGCCAGTAGTATTTGTTTTTCTGTTTAATTAGATGTTTGCTGTTTATCACACACAAGAACTGTAAGCAGAGTCCATGAGTTCTTCGGAGCAATATGAAACCTCATGGTTCCATGCAAGTTCAATACTGCCTCTCTCTCTCTTTTTTTCTTCCTCCTCCTCCTATCTGCTGTTTTCCCCTGCCCAAGTTTTCAACAATCCTTAAGGGAAAGAAAGTTTTACTTCATGACTGCTATCCAAGAGAGCCTGGCTCCAGGCTTATGTTGGGTCAGGTGCATCTTAGATAACAGGAAGCTGGATGTTTTTCATTTGAGGCACTAGAAGTTAGGTTAATAGTAATAGTCAAGTTGCCCAAAGCTAAAGGGACAAATAGCTCTCATTGCCTTCCTATTTAAACAGCTGTCCAGCAAAAAAATCTTCTTTCCCCTTTTTTCCCTGAAATATATGAAGTACAGCTTGCAGTAACAGATTCCTCAGTCTTTCATTCATGCATCTGTAGTCCTATCGTATTCTGTCCCATTTCACTTCCTCAGCCTCAGGACAGAAGGTAGCAATGGATCTCTCTACATTCAGATAACACACATCCTTTTTGTCTCATAATAATTATCAAGTTTATAGTTCTTCCTCCACATTCCCCAGCTAAGTCAAGACAAACTCAGTTCTGTGACAATGTTTTCCATGTACCTCTCTTCAGAGAGAGAGCTGCTGCAGCTGAACAAGACAATTGCAGCATGCTAGTTATACTTGGATTCAATATGTGGTTGAAAAGAAGAGAATGACCAGTTTCCTCATTCGTCTATATTCAGACATTTAGAAAACCCCACTGTCAGCATCTTGAGTGAAAAACAGGTGACATCTTCAGACCCTTGTAAAACTACTTACGCATGTTAACTTGTTTGAATAAACTTCCCCACCTCAAGTGACACAGTGGCCTGCAGTCTTCCTTGATCCATTCAGAGAGCAAGAGTTATTTTTACTGAGTCAGTAATCATGCATTGTATTCCAGAGGAAATACTAGCCGGGTACCCCTGCTTGTAACTTCATGATCTGCTGCTCCCAAATCACATTCCAATGCTTCCTCTGAACTACTTTTTGTTCTCCTGCCATCAAGGCTAGTGGTAGCTGTATGGGGGCCAGATGAACCATTTGCAGTTATTGTTGTATCACCATATGTCACGGTAAGGTCACCATCATTCAGAATAAAATCAGAATCCTCTTCTCTAAGCTGTTCCTGATTCTGAAAAAAAAAAGAAAAAAAAGAAAAAAAAAAAGAAAAATCTTTGTACAGTGCACAGCATCTTTCTTTGCCCAAAAAGTAACCAAACAGAAGAATTTACCTGTGTGTCAATACAGAAGCAGTAAGAGGTAAAGCTTCACCTTAAGGAATGTTAAAAATAACCTTGAACCCAGCGTTTGCAAATCAGCTTAGTGATCCCTGTATAACTACTGCTACTGTGGAGAGATGATGGGGGAGCTGAAGCCAAGAACTAGGTTATGAAACGGGTAACCTGGGATTTAGTAGCACTGAAAGTACACCAGAAGTACAGGAGAGATCAGCAGTACACAGTTTTTTTGCATGACAGTTTAGAAGGCAGTACAGGAAAACGACTGGAGACCAAGGACAATTAAGTCACTTCAGATACAAAGTCAGAGTTGCATCTATTGCTAATTAGTCACATTCATTAGTAAAAATTTCATGCGAACTGGTAAGAACTTTAGAAATTTTAGGCCCAAAATTTTCATGTTCAAGAATTCCTCAAAAATTTTTTGTTATACATCAAGAACTAACAATATTCTTTCAAATTATCTGCTTACTTTTGCCTGCTACTAAATAGAGAATTACTTGACCTAGTTCTTGTGAATGCTACTGAGCCATAAAAAAGATTGATACAAGAAAGTGCTTGCTTCATGGTTTTGTAACTAGTTTTGATATGTTCTCTTTTCAAAATCATTTAAGAAACTGGTGCATGAAACCCTGTGAATTTATTTTGGCAAAGATGGGATGAAATATATGGTCAGAGGCTAGAAATTGCTGAAGTGTAACAAAACACTTAATTTCTCTACACAGCATAATTACAACAGCAAGCAACAGTACCATGTTCCACTCCATTTTAACATGGTCTTGGTAAAAGGCAAAACAGCTGAATTGGTCAGAAAATGGGCTTTCTTTATATTTGAAGAAAATTCTATCAATACTATAAGTTTGCCTTCTTGCAAGTGAAAGCAATTATTTCTCCACATGAATAGCTCCATACTGCTTAGCAAGAGCTGAAATGTAAGTGTCTGTGTATTGCTGTTCTCCTCGGTAGGCTGGACACTGATCAGGCTATGCTCTCAAAATACATTATTTTCTTCCATTGCTGCAAAGGAAGGAGGACATAGGCCATGTGAGATAGGATGCCTGTGTTCAGCCTGAACAGAAAGCCCTGCCTCTACTGCAGAACAGGAGCTCAGGGCACTGCTGACTGAAAATGCTGATTCACCTGTCCATGATGAAAAATGCAGCACCTGGCTAAATAAAACTTCCTGGGAAAGCTTCTTGTTGTTATGTCAATGAATGATAATCAGCCAAAATAAAGCAGCAGAAGCCTTTAGATGATATAGAATATTTAACTAACAAGGACTGGAAGAGGTGTCAGGAGTTTGCCAAAACCAATGAAAGAAATAGTGCAGTTCAGCATTGGGTTCAAGACAAGCCCTACCTAGAATGAATGCTAATTTCTCAGAAACTTCATGGCATCCAAATTTATCATTGGTTTTTAGTGACAGGGTTAATGTGATAGAGAGCACTGTTCCCAAAGAGCAAATACAGTTTAGAACACTTGCTTTCTTTGATCAGAAAGAAAACACTGAACTACTGGCACTATCTTAAAAAGCAAGAATTAAAGTGTTCGACTACAGTTGGCAGAAACAGCCTTTACAAGCTTTTAGTTGCAAAAAAAAGTAAAAGTCTGAGGGACAAGGCCAAGATGTGCCTAAAAAAGGCACTCCAAATAGTAACCCGTTTAAGAAATTCTGATATCCATATATATATTGTTTTGAAGAAGAGGCATTCCAATAAAGACGAAAAGCAGAAAAATGAGCAAGAAGCAGGCAGTTTATGACTGTTGACAATTATGTTTTAAGAAGCAGAAGAAGCTGAGAAGCTCTCTCATATGTTCCCTTTCACGGTCCTTGCCCTTGGAGAAGCACCAAGGAGTGGAAGGCAGGGCTAACAAAGAACCAGAAGCTATTGCCATAACAGGACCACATGTGAAGTGGCTGCAGCAAGCTCTCAAAGCACCTCCTGTCTCCACAAAGCTATTGAACAATGAATCCTTGCAGCCACCTATCAGATAAGAAACTGGTAAGAACACACTACACTTGAGCTTCCCCAAAAGGTTGAAAAGCTGTTGGAAGCAATATATTGAAAGGAGAGGGCCTTAGATTTATACTATATGGCAAGTCCTAACTCAATCTTTGCAGGTTTGTCCCAGGCTATACTTGCATGTACATAAACGTGATCAGTTCCAGAGAAAACACTTAGCTTTCTCTCAAGATAGTGAACAAACATTGCCTTGTATGAGCCAAGTTCCTTTTATTTATTTCACTTCTGAAAAGCACTGCAAGCAGCAGGCAATTTATTTCATATATTTCCCCAGACAACATCCATGAACAATCCCATGTAGTATACGGATTTACTATGTTTGCAAACAAAGAGGATGGGTGAATAAACCTACTGTGCTTCATGCAGCATGAACAATTCTTTCAAGAAAGACAGGAAATGTATCCAAGTAGATCCCCAGAGACTTGAAATACTTCCAAGAAAAACCCTAAACAGGCCTCTGCAATCCCCTACAGTTCTGTAGGAATAGCTTCAATTCAGTCAGAAAACATAGGTCTGAACTTCACTACTTAAACTGACAGACTAGAATGGCTAAATACCTAAATCCAAAATTCTGCAAATGCCTGAATTTTGCTTTGATGTGCTGACCATAACCTTGAGGGACCTCACTGCACTCTGTCCTATTTGTGGTAAAATCTGTTCATGTTCCTAAGAATGTGTGCTGGAGATGTTTTTTATATTAAAGCTTATTTAAAGTGAGCTACTGCTTACAAGGCCTGTCTTTATTGCCTTCTAAGACAATGTAAAAAGAAGCACAAGCAGAGTGCAATGCATTGGCAGTAGTCACAAATGCTGGTGCTGAATACAACACAGGCATCACAGATGACAAAACTTGCATCGGAAGTTCTTATCTTGTGGCTCCAAAACAAAAGCATCAAGTAGTGTGCATACAAAATATATTGCAACTTGAATCTGATGCTTTGCCTACAGTCTCTCTGTTTCTCAGCCGAATTTAAATTCACCAGGGAAACTAAACAACTTTTGCTGTGAAGGTAGAACCACTAAGGAATGGGAAGGGCAAAGCATGGCTAAACAGTTTTCTTACCTATTTTGAGAGTTACAGCCTGCGAGATTTATAAAGACTCCAAATTAAGTTTCTTCACTGGGCTCGCATACTTATAAATTAATTCAATTCCCTCTACTTTCATGCCAAGTTGTCATACTACAGATGATGCAAGAACTAAACTTTAAAAAAAAGTGTAGGAGTGTGTATAAGACAAAAAATACACCCTGAACAAAAAAAAAAAAAAACCAAAAAAACCAACCAAACAAGAAGCAGGAATGCTTCTTCCAACTGGGATAAATGACTAATGAGAGAAGAGAGAATTACTAAAAGTTTCAAAGAACATGTCAAAAGGAGAAGAAAAAAACTGACCTACATTAGTTTGGGATAAATTGGAATGCCCTGCCAACGGGTCATGCACTGAAGACAACAGCACCAGAAGAGAAAAATAGTGTTTAAAATTACAATTTTCAAAATTTCTCTCCTAACTGCAGCAACTTTTCATGTTTTTAAGTTCCAACTTGCAGTATGTCTGTGGCAAACACTTAATGGTGGGCCTAGTGGCACTGACTGAAAACAGTGGGAGAACATCAGCAAGGAATAGTAAAAACATCTCTGGAAAAAAATCCACTGTACCTCACCTCTGTGTGCTGACTCAGAGCCTGACATGTATGTCAGGCAAATTCAAGCCTAGAGGACACGATCTCATACTTAAAAATAAGTTGTGGGTGGACTACGTAATAGGATCATTTGACTTTCAGACTTTCAAACCCTCCTTCGGCATCTAGTTAAAAAGACATACTCCCACTCATGGAAATGAAAGTGAATTCTAAATACTGTTGTAATAAAGTCAGAGGAGAAAAAAAACCAAAACAATAAAAGCTGAAAACAATGCATCAATACACAATCCGTATAGCCACACAGGTGTCAGCTTTCTTCTCTATGTAGATGTCATAACTCAGACGTGCACCTGAACGAGATCCAGGATTTAATACTTGCTTTGGAAACATATTTTCCAGCTATATTATACTCTATTGAATATTTACAGACTTTTTTTTTGCTAAACTTAAAGTCTTCAGTCTTTAATTCTCACAGATGTACCATTCAATTTCCCTGGAAATACCTCACAAAGGCACAACTATTCCAAGCACTTTCTGTCCCCACAAAAACATGGCTCTCTCCATTGCTTCACCTGCACTTAAATAGAAAGGAAAAAAAATTCCATGGCTTTTTAGTCAGTAATAAAACGGCACAGCCAAGTCCTGTAGCTAACTCAGCCATGCAAAGAGACAAAAAGCAACAAAGCAATTGCAGGGTTCAGAAATCTTGAAAAGAAGCTAGAAAAAAACCCTCAAAATTAAATTCTTTCCTAAGACTAATTCACAATGCACTGAAATAGGAACAGAAGAGAGAATACAACTTGAAACTTCCACATTATACACCTTAACAAAGTATGCAACCTGGCAAGCATTTTTAATGAAGTTAACATTCCATGTGTGTTTGTCACAGAACCAATCCAACTAAAGAATAAGTTTCCACATGCAGCAGTAGCTAACAATGATGAGTAAAGAAAAAAAAGAGCCTAACTATGAGAGAAAACAAAAGGCAAAGGTTGCATGTTCATTCTGGTCAGATACTCAGTTACTGGACAATTACTCTCACAAGATCATATGTGGACAGACACACAGGCAACACACAAGTAGGTTAATTGGTCTGATGGATGCCTTCCAGCCTAGATCTGCTTTAAGACCTCCAGTGGCATTGCAAAGATGAGAACAAGGCCAATTTCTTGCATTACTAATAGCTCCAAATAGGCAACAGAAATTTCAAAGTTCTTTGAAACTTTTCTATCGGGTACAAGTAAGTTGCTAATAATACCCAGAAAGAAATGCAGGGAAGTATTTCAAAGTTGCAAGTGGAATTCATAACTGTCTAGGAAAGGATTAACAGCAAACTGGTGTAAGACTACTTCAACATAGCAGAGATATTAACATCCCAGAGAACCTGCAAATTAGAGATATTCCCACATAGTACTGTGGTTTTATTTACAAGTGGCTCATAAAAAAGTTGTAGATTTCAGAAGCACTGTACAGATAGCAATGACATGTATCAGGGTCCTGCAAGAGTAATATGAGAATGAAGCATTAATTATTGCAAGACATGGCTGTAAAGAAGAGAGTGACCTGCTAGACTGAGATAAGTAACTGCCTAGCGGTTCCTGAAATGTGATCTCAAATTTCACAGTGGAAACAATAGAGGGAAGCTCTACCAGATTTGTTTCTGGCGTGGGTATATGTGTCAGTGACTTCTCTAAGGAGACCTCAAAGCTTAGTGGTAACAGGGAAAGAACCTTGTGCAAAACTGTTGAGAAGGGAATACTTTGAAATGATTCACTGAACTGGGTTATTGACTAAGCCTGTGTCCTACTTACAGGGGCCAGGACCAGTTTATCACTATGGGGGTATAACCAAAACTGTGTATTCTACACTCTCTATGTTATTTCTGTTGGACTGTTAACAATGGATCATTTGCAGCAGCTGCCCAGGGCACACCTGACACCTCAGGCTACAAGCTGGGTGTTAAAGAACACTGCGAGGCAGGGGAGTGTTTCTTTTTCTTCATACCAATGACTCATCTGTGATAACTCCCCTATGGGGAGGCATTAGCACCTTCACACCCAGCTTGAGGGGTCATCTCTGCTAATGGGCCACAATGGACTGGCATAATAGGCAGCTGCAACACCTAGACATCAAAGATTCCAAAAATATCCCATGACACGCAGAGTTACATCACCCATTGGAAAACTCCCATGCTGAGGGAGGTACTGGGCATTCCCACCTGCACCTGAGCATATATAATCTTTAGGGTTTGGGACTTCTGGTACCACTCGTCAGATCCAGAGGAGGACCAGAACTCCAACAGGACTGCCACTGCCACTCTCGACAAGACTGCAATCATTACTTCAACAGAACTGCAACCATCATCCAGATTAACAGGTTTCCTTTCCTTTTACTTTGCCCCCAGGGGAACCACGTGGTGTTCAGCACAGGGGTTAACAAACACTGTTCTGTTCTTGTCCCAGGGTGTGGGGTTATACAACTGTCTTTGTGGGTTAAAACCAGTTTTCTCTGTATCGTTTGATTGATTCTAATCTTTTTAGGAAATTGTAACTCTGACTTGTAATCCCTCTTGAGCTGGATTCATTTCTCCCACCAGTTTAGTTTTAAACCAGCACAGCCTGTAATTTCCCAATATCTTTAAATGTTATTTTTTTAATGTAGTATCTGAAAAACAAGATCCTTTCTGGTTTCTACCAACAGAAGCTGTTGCCTTAGGGGAGAGAATCTTAAATCTTTTCTGCCTAGGACAAACCAGTACTTTCTTGCAGTATATCTATCAGATCAGCTGAAACCAGAAAATGCCTAAAAAGAAAAACACTGATTTGCTGAAGTTAAAAAAAATAATAAACAAAACACAGAAGTATTGAGTTGTTCTACTTACATCATAAACCTGGGGACTTGTCAGACAGCGGGCTATCAGGCCACACCAGCTGGGTAGAGTTGTGGTCAATGGAGGGCCACTGTGAGTGAGAATTGGCTTTAAATAACTTAAGTAGTTAAGGAAAACACACCAGTGCTCAACAACTACTATTGAAAATAAAAAGGCAAGCGTACATAAATGTGGTTTTGCCTTTAAACTTTGCTACTCAATAATTTTACATAAAACATCCCCAACATTTTCCCCTTTTTCCTTTCAAGTGCAGTTTCTTTACTCACACATCTTCCACAAGGACAACTTTCTTAAAAGTTTCACACAGTTCTGATTTTTCCAGCTTCTGAGTTCTCTAAAGTGTAAAAGAGCAAGTAAAGGTACAAGCATTTTAGTGTTAAAGGGTCCAAGACTGTTTGTGCTCTGAAGATGGAAGCATGGTGTCAAGGTTGCAAGCGAGAGGTAACAAGGTGTCATTCCTGTGTGGCTCAGTGTAGGGAAATAAAGAAATGCTGT